ACAAGCGATTTTACTCGGGAAGAAACAAATCGAAAATAAAGAGTAAAAGTTTTTCGTTCGAGGGTGCGTTTTCGAGATGATTGAATTTCAGAATTGGGGCTCCACGGCAAGTAGAAACAGCGGGTAGTGAACAGACATGGTTGAGCAAATTTTCAAATTGAATCGTCTCGATTTTAGATTTGTTTTTTCACGCAGAGTATATGCAACCCTTCTCGGTTGCGCCATTGGCATTGCAACAGTCTGTATAAATTAATTCCCTTCGAGAAATCTCAATATTTTGAAGACCCTTAATGTTTATCTCGCGGTATCGTTTAAAAAGTAAAGTAAATTTGCACCATTGTTTTGATAAAAGAAATAATGCTAACAAAAGAGTCTGGAAATATATTTCACGGAATGGATATAAAATTCTAGCACTACAAGCCTATTAAACGCAAGCGAAAGACGCCTACGGTTGTTGCGGACCAGTCTGCGAAAGACATACTTCTCCGGCACATAATGTGTTAAGAGTTCATAATGAACCCGTTTGTCCCGCTGTACACGGAGCATAACTGTTTTTTATGCAGCTCTGGCTTTGCTGCTGTCAGTGTTGAAATTTCCGGTACACAATGGTCCGTCCGTCCTTGGTATATTACTGTACACCGTTCATTTTTCATCTCCAGTAATTAATCAACCAAAAACTGACTCGTTATTACGACGATTAAAAAGAAACAGATTCTCAGTCGATTAACCTTATTATTGCCGACAAATCCTACGATTCCAAAAATCTTACGGTTCTCCGATGCTTTCTAAGACCCCTACCTCGTTAAAATATAATTATTCTTCGGAAATATTCGTAGGAATAAACGTTCTCACGATACGATATTTTATAATTAAAGCTGCACACGATACATTAACGAAGATCCCATAAAAACTCAGTGTTATTTTATTCTTTCCCATTTTCCATAATACTACATTTTCATCCTCTTCCAGTACCTTGCCGCATCATCTCGTTCATCTCGCGTTCAAAGTAGATTATAAATTTTGATTAAGTCGGGTCAAGTTGTAAAACAGCCCTGTCCGTCGAACTTCGCCCCTCTGGATCGCTCCTAGGCATATAATACAATCTTTCTCATACGTTTGTCACGTTTCTGTCCTTCGATACGACGAACAAAGGAACGAAACGAAAAATAAATAAATAAAACGAACGGTTCACAAGATTCGATTAAAGGTTTGCCCCTTTGTCGCGAGCAAATCAGATATCGCACGCGTCAAAGCGACAGATTGTTCCAATGGACTGAATGGAATAAAAAAAAAAAAAAAAAAAAAAAAAAAAAAAAAAAAAATTGAACCCGTTTCCGCGTGTGATTGCCGATAAAAGGGCGAAAGAACTAGGTCCGACTTTTATTACAGCGAAATTAATTCGAATTCTATTCCCCAGAAAGACTGGCCATTAATCACGGCCGACTTAAACGTACGTACCGCCGAATTCTAATCGATGAAGATCAATTAATTCCGTTAGCGGGGCATCTAATTCCGTCGGCCAATCCGGTTCTCGTTGAATAAGATTAACGTCGCGGGGAAACTCGGGAATCTACGACCGGGGAACACGCTAGCCGGGCAACCGGAAAAGAAAAACAAAAAAAAAAAAGAGAAAAGAAAAAATGCAATAATCGTAAGCGACCCGAAAGACGACAGAGGGAAAATAACAGAAGCAAAGCGAACGGTAATCACGAGAGACGAAAGAGAACGGAAGAAGGAGGAAGCGACAGAGCGGTACGACGGAAATAGGTCGAAACAATCCTGAGGAGCTGGGTTCATTACGCTTCCCCCGCGAAGGTCGCTCGCCAGATAATCAGAATGATAAAAACAACGCGAACGTACCAGTCACTCTGACGGAGACGCGCGACGTTTTCAGAAAAATAGAATTTGTACGGTTCTCTGCTACCCAATCGCGATCCCGAGCTTCTTTAATGCAAATATAAGGGGGTATTCTTATTTGACGGATCAACGATATCGATTTCCTCTTACGAAAATTTCTCCTACCAAAATGCTACATTACAAAGAACCAGCCCCGCCCGCGTGGGTGGTATTTTCTTGGGCGAGTCGTTAGTCCGGCATTAACATAGATTTATATTACCTCAAACACGAGTACTTATTATTTGATTGCACGATTTATAGAAATAGGATCTATTTGTGGCAGAGATGGTGAATAAGCGAACTTCCTTGAATCTTGCTATTTTCAATTTGAATTCGATGATAAGAATTTTGAATTAATTATATGCTTCCCTAGTTAATGTTTTAAGCTTCACCTATTTAGTTGTACATATTCCCAAAAACATATATTCCTTTGCAGAGAAATAATTCGTCAAAGAAATGTATCAAATGAAAAGTTTCGATAAAGAAACGAGCAGAAATAACATAGTGTTGGTTTGTTTTTAGTATGGGCGTAGCTATGGACGAAACGACAAAGAAAAATAGTAAAACTTTACAAAAAAAAATAGAGAAACAATTTTTTCAGTGAAAATTGTGCAATTCCAGATAGCATGCTGGTGTGTTTTCGACCACTAAGGTACACACGTTTTATACGCGTGACAAATATTGTAGAGATTGGTTTATTATTGCCAGAATTGTTAGAAACACCATTTAGGGAAAATTAGTTTCGAGGAAAATAACGTTAAAGTACATCGTGATTCACTGCAGTTCCATTTATGCATGCAATTGTGTATATTGTAACAAAGTTGTTTATAAGTTAAATCTACGAACATGCGTTTTGCGTGCACCGAGTGTTATGATTGTTACCCGCACGAGGTTACATTGGAATTCCCATAACTTCTCTAACTGCTCGAGTTTCAATCTATTAATTTACAAACATAATTTTATCACCAATAACTTCAATGAAACGCGCATAAAGCGTGATTAATTTTCCTTAACGTTTACAGTGGAAAGCTCCTTCAAATGTCTGGCGAGCTTGGAGTCTTTAAGTTAAGTGATATTTAAGATTTTTTTCAGACAACTACCGAACATATTAATTTTAAATGTTAGGAGTACGTTCGACGCGTTAATTTTTGTTTTAAATTCCAAACGATTTGAATTAAAAAAAAAAATTTTTAAATTCGTTTAACGAATATGTAGTTTAATGTAACTTTGTTTTTACCTAATATGTACGTAAAATTTCAAGTCAATCGATTTATTGGTTTACAAAATACCGTGGCAACGAGCTTGAAAAATGTCATATCCAGAAAAATAGATTTAAAGTACAGTGTCGGGGCATATAAAAAATATTCAGCTCAATGTTCTGTAACATTAATATTTTTTTTTTATTTCATAATTCACTTCAACTCATTTCAAAATTCATACTTCTATAGTGTTGTTAATTTTTCGAATTCGTAATTCTCGCGACGTAACTAACGAGTACAGTTTTAGCCACCGAAATTAGGTGCCATCAAATAATAATTGGCTTATTTAAATGCGACGCATAATCACCTTCTAAGAAGGTTTAAAACATGTTCTTTAATGGAAACAGGTGGTTTCCCATAATATACGTTTCGTTCCAGACTACCAGAGAACTCTTTGATAAAGCTTGTCCAATAACTTTTGCCTTAGGCATGATTGCTGCTCGCCGTAATTGACACCCATATCATTTGCTTAATAAAACTTGCGGGAAACAAGTTTAAGCACTTAGCCATCTAGCGGTATTATGTAGAGCGGAGCTTCTCAAACTATGAATCGTGACCTCTCGAAGCGCTGGACGAAAATTCTGAAAAACTTGAAGCACGTTCCGTATAGCAAGCCAAACTTTTATTATGAAAACAAGAACAAAAATTCCTACAATAATAATTTAAATTCAGCATCATCGAATCAGAATTCGTACTGTAGGTTTTATAAGGAAATAATTTCGTCTTCTATCGAAGAAACGTCGCTAGCGATACAAAATTAAGAAGTTCCGGTCTAGACGTTTCGCGAATCTCATGAACCATTCAGCAAAATTCAATCGGTCCAAAATTAATAAGCGTGATAAAATTTTGATCGGCGAAATTAGCCGCCACCGAAGACTGACAAGCTCGATCGAATGCGAAGGCGAACGTCGAGGCGAGCTTGAAACGTCGTTCGTCGCGATGTTTCGAGAAAATATCAATCTTTTTTTCGTCGCAGGGGCAATCCCTTTAAGACGACTCGAAGAAGGAACGGTCAGGGTCCGCGAATAAACGAAAAGAGATTGCGAACGGGAAGCCACGAAAGCGTCCGGACGGTATTAAAAGCTCCGAGGGAACAGTAATCAGACGGCAAAATTAAGAATCGTAAACACCAACGGAGACGGAGCCAAAGCGAAAGCTGATTAAAAGTCCCCCGGTAAGAAGCGGGACTGGCCCGTCGATTCCGTGGGCTAATTAAACCACTCGATCGACCTACCGCAAGTTCACAAATCCTCGCTAGAAGACCAACCGGCCGGAAGACTCGCGCTGAAGACCAACAGGATGCTTTTGGGTCTGGTGAGGCTCGTTGGGAGCCTCGAGATACGAAGGTTAACGTCGTAAGGAGCGTAAAATTTGTACAGAGGACGGTCGAAAGACGTCGCGGGTTGAAAGAGCAAGAGGCGTACAAGACGCTAAAGCAACCCTAGGCATCAGCAGCAGCAGCAGCAGCAGCAACCGCGACGTCGGTGGTAGTAACACCGTGAGCAGCAGCAGCAGCAGCAGCAGCAGCAGAAGCAGAAGCAGCGTCGAGGGTGGTGGTGGTGACGACGACGACGACAACGACAACGACAACGACAACGACACCGACAACGGGGACAGAGGTAGTAGTAGGAACGGTAGTAGTAGTAATTCGTGGAAGAAGACCGAGACGGAGAAAGGGGTAAGAACTGAGGAGGACGGAGCGAGCGCGAGGCGGCCTGGAGGAAGGAGGAGGCTGACTGATCGGCAGAGTAGAGGAGAAAGAGCACGCCTGCGCGGAATCCCCGGGCGGGCGCGGGCAGTGCCACTGGAGGCCCGGCGGTTTCAGAGCTTCGCCCGGGACGACGAACCGCAGACGACCCGTACGCAAAACTCGGTCGTAGTTAGCCGCGTCGGAGGATCCCGTCGGTCGAAAGGGCCAGAAAACCACGCGACGCGTCCGCGCCCGTCGACGTTTACGTCGTGCAACTCGTCGTGATCGGGGAAAACGGACCTGGACTACGAGGCACCGGGGCGCACGCCGTGTAGGAGACGCGCACGTCGCGAGAAACGATCCGAGCACGTACACTCGCGGTGCACGGACCGTAACATATAGAGAGAGAGTTATCATCGCGGGGAGGATAATGTGACCAGTGACCGACACCGGAATCCCGAACGGGTGGTGTGTCCGATAAAACGTGCGCGACAGAGGGGCCAAAAGGGACACCCCGGGTGAGAGAGGTGCCTGCTATGCACGAGGTCTGGTAGCACGGGTGCCAAAAAGGAGGGTGAACAACGTGATGACGGAGGACCGGAAGTGAGAAGGTGCACCGTGCTGGTGCGCTATAGCTGTTCTCTGAGATGTCAGTGGACCCGTCGAAGGGAACCGCGTCGTCGTATCCGTCGTCGTCGTCCTCTACGTCATCGTTTCCTTCATCATGAGGAGATCCTCTTACGTGAACTACTACGTCTTGTGCCTCGTGTGCTGGATTCTCCTAGGCATCACCGGTAAGAGAGCATATGTCGCCGCACGCCGCGTGCTGGCCTCGAGTCTCGTGGATCGTCGATCGATCCGTAGCAAAAGTGTATACGGAGGCGTACATACTGGCGGTGGCGAACAAAGGATGCTGGTTTTGTCGATGACCGCGCGAGAGATCGCGTACCCCGGGTCCACGACCCCCGTCGACTGTCGACTTGCTTTCCTACGGTTTGTTGGAAACGGGGGACGGGGTGGGGGGAGGGGGTGAAGATGCTAGTGACGTGACAAAGGGGTGGGAGGATGGGGTGGAGGGGAAACGGAGGCTGTGGATACTTGTACTGCGGATGGATCGATCAGATTTTGGGGTGTAACTATACGTGCGTGTAAATTTGCACGCGTGCGAGTCCCCGCGGATAACCGCGCCGCGACGCATGAAATTCGGCAGCTGATCGCGCGACGGTTCCGCCGCTGTTCGATCGTCACGAGGATCCAGATTACGCGAGTGGAGGGAAAAAGGAGGACTGGCGGAAGATATTTCACCGACCGGGTATGAGGGGGTGGTGGATACTGTCTTCGGTCCCCCCGGTCCAGGGCCGTATCCGACGGTGTTGGCCTTGTTTGTCGCGCCGTTGGTATTGTATTTTACCCCCGTTCTCCGATTCGTCGGTTCTTTTCTCGTCGGCTGTCCTCGTCGGGTCACCGTGTCGACTCGATGATTCCGTCATCGGGGGGACAGAAGAGGGGGGGGGGCGGCGAACGCAGAAGGGTAGCGTGTTCCCTCGTCTTCGTTCTGACGTCGTTCAGGGACGTGTCTATCGATTTCATCTTTCGCGGCTGTTTCGCCGATGATAAACCGTTAGCTTTTTCGGACTCGCTTCGGATAGTGGATCCCCTTTCGAACGCCGCGATAAAGCACCCGGTTATCGCGATCTCGCGGCTCCTTTCGACGACGGACTTCGAACTCAATTACGTCAGCTGAAACGACCCCTCGTTGCTACTTAGTTTTACTGCCCCGTCGTTTATGGTGGTTCGCGGCTATCAAAAGTATGGAGATAGCGACCGCGATACCCGCGAAATTACCTGGATCTTCCTAGAACGAAGCATCAATTTCGCTTATATAACCCTCGTGGAAATACTTGTTGGTTGCACTGTGAGCGTGGGCAATTACTCTTTCCCCGTTCGTGAAACTTTCTGCTGATTCAATCGAGGGTGCATTAAGTCACGGATCAGCTACCTACGGCATGGTTTATCTCAATGATCTCCCAGGATACCGTTCCCTTTCCGTAGGGGGGCCCCGTATAGCGCCCTTATCCCTCCAATAATTTCTCCTTTCCCCCTTCACGGTCTCAGGACTCTCATCAAAGTAGCTTGTAAAATGGGTTCATTAAGTTCGTCTGGTTCCAACGCGGCGAGAGGCACCCGGAAAAACGTTTCGCCGCGCAAAGTAGACATCGACGCGTTGTCAATCGTGTCGTTCATTATCCGTGTCAGTCGCTTTGTAAAGACAGCCCATTCGTCGGCTACCAAGCCCGCTGTTATCGAGCGTTTCCGAACGGGAGACGGTAAAATACACACGGGAGCCTGCCAAACCGCGAACTAAACGACACTCGTAGAACTTTCGACGGAGCGCAAACCGATGCCATTAGCGCAGCTAACGTGCGCTCGGTAATTTTGTTAAATAATTTACCGAATCCTGGCCCGCCTGATTCTGGCCGAAACCTGTCCCCCGTTCGCCCTTCCCGCCGCCCCCGCAGGACACACTCTTAATTGATATCAACTACGCGGCCGGCCGCGCATTCGGATCCGCAACGCGAAAACAATTTCTCCATCGACGCGATGCATTATGCACTTTACAGCCGTAACATAATCGCGGCGCTGCCCGCTGATTATACCACACGGTGATTAACCAACCGACGTAATTATAACGGAATGGAGATTTCGGGGCTCCAGCGACCACCACTTACGGAAAATCGTTTCCCCGGATGAGGGGGCTAGCTGCTCGTCTGACGTCTATCGCGCCCTAATTGTTAACGATATCCGTTTCTCCAATGGCTGCTTTGGAAGCAATTGTTTCTCACCTTCGATACTATTGTCACAGTGATTTTGTTGATTTATTATAATATTAGCATTTTTTAAACACTGGTGCGTAGGACGGATTCGGCAATCGCTTCGTCGGATGAGGGGCGTAGCTGCGTCTCTTCGATGGCTGCTTTGGAAACAATTGTTTCTCGCCTTCGATGTCATCCTCACAGTGATTTCGTTGATTTATTATAACGTTAGCATTTTCTAAACACTGGTGTATAGGGTAGATTCGAATCGTCTGTATCGTTCTAGAAGGTTCTCTAGAGATTACTCGGTAGGTGTTGCAGTGACTCGTGCTATTAATTTCTTCTTTCATCTTGATTCCCAGCAATATTACGATTAAAAATTTTAAAAGCTGTGCATATTTTTTTACACTAGGTGCAAATTATAATGTTTGTGATTCCCTTCTGACAACGAGAAATTTATGTTGAGATCGTCTTATGCCACAGCAATTATCGCATCATTAGAAATATATCGATAAATTAGGAAACGCGAGAATACCGTGACGTTCGACCGTTAAAGCGAGTAATTGCATTTAGAAGCTACTATTGAACGAGTAATTGACAACGTGTCGATCAGAGGAACATTTAAGTTTGCGCGACCCTGTGATCGACACTCCTCAAAGTTAGAATCGAATCTCTTACGTTGGATCGTCACGAGGAACGACGAGTGAAAGGATTAATCAGTGACTTAAATATACTACCATAAACTTTTCTTGACATCGGATTAAAGCAACATGGCCGCAAAATTACTGGCATCTTTGGTGCGACTTTATTACGCTTCGAGTGTGACTGGAAAATATCGTGCACCTCTTCCTATATATTTATATTTAAACTGACCGAATTATTTCTATTTAGACTGAAAATGATTCTTCAAGATTCGAAATCGTATATAATTCGAGCAAGGCATGAATCAGTGAGTACTCGTCGCTTTGTAATTCCACGGTTGGCATAGATTCACGGCCCAAACTATTTTCAACAAAAATGTCTTCGAGTTTATTGTCAGTGTTCCAAATCTCTGTCGGTTTCTATACTAGAACGCTTTTATTTGTCACGATGTTTTTAGACATACATACGTTACTTTACCGCCTCCTAAATGCCCGCGATAGGATTAAGGTCTGTTGGGTTCCCCGACCAGCCGAGAATTGTGGTTTTATTGTCGCTTAAGAACTGCGTGACTTTACGTGATTTGTGGCGCGTCGCGAAATCATGCATAAATGTGTACACGCCATTTGGAAACCCTCTGCGGTCTGTGGTATTAATTGGGTTCCTAAAACGTTGATGTATCGGTCTTGTCGCATTATTTCTTGTACAATGTACGATCCCCCTGTGACCTCGTGATTCATAACACTCGGAACCATAATGATCTATGAATGTTTAACACTTATCGTTGCGAAAGTTAACTTGCCCGACGAAATTTGAAAGGGAAATTTGTCCTGAAAACATACGTTAATTACTACACGGAATGATAAAGTATGATTTCACAACGCCGATCGTTGTGTTATTGCAAATGTTATTAGATATCAAGAAAGGGGTATAATCTGTAATTATATATGGTAGGGACGATAAGAACGAGAGTTATGAATCTTTTCTCGCCCGTCCGGAGGTAAGAATTCGTTTAAATTTATTCGAGGTAAGCCGTAAGACCATAAGTCGACGTTTGACAGAAAACGATCTTCTTTCTCATATCGGAATGAAAAAACCATTGATATCCGAAAAGAATCGGAAGTCTCGATTAGAATTCGCTACGTAACTACGCAGATTGGAGATCGTAGGATAATAATTCTATGGGACGACGAAAGTCAATTCAATTTATTTAAACTTGAGGGCTTGAATCAACCCTTTTTATATTCTCTCTGTTTCGTGCGTGCAATGATATAATTCCGTAGGAACTTAATAAACATCTCCACACCGTTAAAAAATATCTAACAACGTGTCTGAAATAAAAGGATTAGTTAAAAACACGTTCTCTTAAATAAATCTTGCGGAATCGTCCTCGTCGTCTCTGAAAATATTATTGCGCGGAACGTAGCGGAAGTGTCGCAGCACGGTGATAATTATTCTCCTGATCCCGGTCGATTAAACGAAAATGGCGCGATATCTATGAAACCGTCGCGGAATCTCAGAAGCGCGCGATGGAAGTAGTCGAACGTAAATGTTTGATGAACTGGTAAGACAGAAAATCGCGTTAGTCCCGCAAGGGACGCGAAGAAAAGCGATCTTCGTTCGTCGGTGGGTGTCTGAAAATCCAGATTTATGTCTGAGTTTAGTGCCCGATGACGTCGTAAAATTACATCGAACGCTCGTACGTGTCGTTCTAATAAAGCGGGGGGAGGAAAAGAGCGCCCCCGCCGAGGCTCAACTTTCCGCATCGACCGACGCCCGGGTGTCTCCAAGGAAATATACGTCAGAAATCCTCTTTTTGTTTCCGAGAAATTTATCTCCACTTTCACCCGCCTCTCCACGGTATTTCGCGATTTACTTTTTTAAAATCCCCGTTGCTTACGGTCGATTTCATCCGATTACGCAATCCGCCGGTACGCGTTTCTGATTACATGTAATTATCTCAGTTAATATTCCATACGCGCGTCGGTTTCTCTTGCGCTCGAACGCACGATACGCCTATTAACGATAATCAGGAAAGCTTCACATACACGAGGGGAACAAGGGGATCGAGATAGGGGGGGGGGCAAGAAGCATATTTTGATTACGTAGCAATTAACCAGTAACTTTATTAATTCGTGATTAGTTTAAATCTAATTCCACTCTATCTCGTCTTAGGGTTCTGTAAATTAGGTTACGTTTCTGCTTTGTTCCGCTTACGCTGACGTTATGAGTCCAGCAGACGCGTAAAATTATATTGATATTTCTACAACTTTTTCCGCTAGTACTCTGACGATATATTTTGATCATTAATCTCGCCGGGCGTGTAATTTGGACAAAGTTTT